GGGAGGGTTCTTCTTTCCTTTGCAGAAGGGACTGGGGGGCAGGAGCAAAGCTCCCGTGCGCAGGACATGGGGGAAGCTTCAAAACCCGTGGCTTGGCCCTGCAGCCCTGGGGAGGCACAGGGCAGCAGAGCCCGGGGCGGGGGATGAGGGGCTGCTTTGGGCTCCATCAGTGGGACAGCAGGCAGGGACACCTGCCTCTTCCCCAGGGGAATGTGCCCGGTGTCCCATCCCAGCCCCCTTGCCTTGCTGAGTGCCGCGATGCGCTGCGCCAGCTCTGCCTCCACCTCGGCCAGCGTCCCCGCCTTCCGCATCGTCTGCTGCAGCTTCTGCTCCGCCAGCTCCAGCAGCTCCTGCAGGTGCCGGGCTTTCTCCTCGCACTGCAGGACAGGGCAGGGTGGGTGCCCGGTCCCATCCCCAGCACCCACTTCTCCCTCCCAAGTGGGGCCGAGCCCCGGGGGTGCAGCCGGGGTACCTGGCGGTGCAGGGACTCCTTGTTGGCCAACTCGTTTTCCAGCTTGTCGTTGAGGTCGTGGATGGAGGTGGCTTCTCTCTGGGCTGCCAGGTAGCGCTTCTCCAGCGTGGTGATCCTCTCCTCCATGTCCTCTTTCTGAGCCAGGGCCTGGGGGAGCGATGGGGCTGTCACATCCTGATCTGGGATCACCAGTTTGGGAAGAACTGGGCCACCCAGCTCCTGTGAGCCTGGGCCACCCTAGAGCCCAAGCAGGCAATGAAAGCCCTGCTGCACACGGGGATGAGGGACAGCAGAGCAGGAGAACAATGAAAGAGGAGTCAAGCAATAACAGAAAATCATGGACACAGCTCCTCACTCCAGGTCTGCAGCACACCTGGCTACCTTGGTGGCTGCTTATAATCTCAGGGGAGTCCTGCTGATGGACTTGGGGACAACTTCCCAAAGGCAGGAGCCTCTTTTTGGGAAACACAGGCCTCCACCCTGCACACAACAGGGGCTGCCATCCCTTCACAGGCCCAGAGCTTGTGGAAGCTGCTGTGAATGTCTCTGCAGCTGCAACAGGCCTGGCAGTGGGAGGTGGCCATGTCTGACCTCTCGAAGGTCCCTCTGGTACTTGCTGCTCATCTCCTCCGACTTGATCAGGTCCTTCCTGGCGGTGCCCAGATCCTCCTCCAGCTCAGCAACGCTGGCAGCCAAGGCAGAGATGCGCTCCTTGGCCTGGACCACTTCAAAGTTCTGCTTCTCCAGGAGCTCCTGCAGCTCTACCACCCTCCCTGCCTCGTCATCCGGGTGGACAGAGCCGTTGGAGAGTCTCTGCAAGGCAGCAGGGAGGGAGGTGGGTGCCAGGCTGGCCCCAGGGTAGGCGTTGCCTGTGGCTCCTCACTGGGGGGATGTGGCCCTGCAGGGACCCAGTGAGGTGGTGGGGAGTGGAGACATGGGGCTCTGAACCCCCTGCCAAGTCTCTGCTAACCAGGGATGTGGCATCTCACAGGAACGGTGGAATAGGGATGGCCAAGGGCTGCCCAGAGCATCTCTGGGCAGCAGAGCCCCCAGGAACATGTGAGTGGGAGCACAAATTCCCCTCTGCTCACAAATGGCCTGGATCTACCAGGAAGGGCATTTCCCAGGGGGTTGGACCCAGGGGAGAGGGGGAAAAAAGTTTTCATTTCTCCAGAGCTAGTGATGAGGAGGCTGGAGAAATGATGGGCTTGGTGAGCACGGTCAGAGCAGGAGCTGCTGGGGCTCTCACCTTCCAGGGAAGCTTCTGCGTCGGCTCCTTGGGCTCCCGCTCGTCCCCGGGGGCCTCCCGGGCTCCCTGCAGAGCTGCCACCTGAGGGAGGGAACAGGGGTGAGAGCAGCTGCTCTGGCCCTGGAGCATCCAGGTCTGCAAGCAGCTTCCTGCTGGCTTCCTCCACTGTCATGTTCAGCTGGTGCCTGTGGCTGGGGGGCAGCTGGGGGGGAACTGGGAGTAACTGGGGGGACAGGGTGGAAAGGGGAAGGCAGAGAGTCTGTGAAGGCTCAGCACTGGTGGAAGATGAAGCCATGTCTTGCCTGGACACAGTGGTGTTTACTACAGGCATGCAAAGAGCCCGAGCCCTCAGGGACCTGAGCCCTGCATCCCAGGACTCCCCCTCAAACACATTTCACAGAATCCCAGAATCCCAGCGTGGTGGGAGTGGGAAGTGATCTGGGAAGTCCAACCCCTCTGCCAGAGCAGGATCAGCCAGAGCAGGCTGCACAGGATGGTGTCCAGGTGGGTTTGGAATGCCTGCAGAGATGGGGCCTCCACCACCTCTCTGGGCAGCCTGTCCCAGGGCTCTGCCACCCTCCAAGTCAAGAAGTTCCTCCTCATATTTAGATGGAACTTCCCATGTTCAAGTTTGTGCCCGTTACCTCTTGTCCTGTCACTGGGCACCACCAAAAAGAGACTGGCCCCATCCTGACACCCACCCTGGGAGTATTGATAAGCATTGATAAGACCCCCCACAGTCTTCTCTTCTCCAGACTAAAAAGACCCAAATCCCTCAGCCTTTCCTCATAAGAAAGGTGCTTCAGTCCCTTCATCATCTTTGTAGCCCTTTGCTGTCCACTCTCCAGCAGTTCCCTGTCCATGAACCAGGGAGCTCAGAACTGGACACAGTTCTGCAGATGGGGCCTCACCAGGGCAGAGTAGAGGGTGAGGAGAACCTCCCTCGACCTGCTGGCCACACGAATTTCCAGCCAGCCAGACTGCAAACCTGGTGCAGATGTTGCCAGCGTGGGATAAACACCAGCATCACACCCTGCTCTGCTGGGGGAGGCTGGGGAAAGGTCCCTGGATGGTGACCAAAGGCACTGCCTCCTTGCTGAGCCTGAGATACCTGGGAAGTGGGAAGAGGAGCAAAACTGGGCAAGGCAGAAGCTACAGGGATGGCTCTTGCCTTTTGGCAGTGGTGGCTGGGCACAGACTCCAGGAAGGAAAACAGAGTTAATAACCCTCCCAGATGCAAAGGGTTGGACTTTGGGGACAGCAACGTCCCCGTGCCAGGGCCTGGGCAAGGGAGGAGGTGGAGGATGCAAGATGAGGTGCTGAGAGCAGCAAAGTTTGGGTCTCTGCTGAGACGGGGGAAACCCCAAGTCACTCAGCCCCCTGAAATGATTCAAGCTCCAGTTGGTTCTGTCAGTGAAGCAAACATCAAACAGCAAAACAACAGGGGAAGCCCTGCCCAGTGAGACAAGTTTTTAGACTATTTCCCAGGTTTAACCTTAACCACAGACCAGCCCTCAGCTAAGGAGCAGTTTTAGAACATACAAAAGGCACAAGTGTCGTTTCTCTGATCTCGCACAATAATTGGAGCCAAATTCAACAGGAATTCACAGAGGTCGATGGAGCAGCCCCAGCCCAGGGGGACCCCCCAGCAAGGGCCCAGGAGGGGCTGCCAATCCCTCTCACCTGCCGATGAGCATCCACCAGCTGCTCCTCCAAGGTTGCCACTCGCTCCAAAGCTGCTCGCAGGCGTTCCCTGACCTGCAGCCACGTGAGGCAATGGGAGAAGTCATTAATTGTCCATGATGAAGGTGCTGAGGGCCTAGGCAAGCTCCCTGCCCCCTCTGCCTGGCTCACAGCTCAGGTGGGTTCACAGCCAAGGCACAGGATCAGGGATCCTCCAGCCCATCACTTGGAAGAGCAAAAGCATGTTGGAGAGGAACAACTGAGATCAAACTACCCCTTGCAGGACACCCATAGCCAGGGCAGCCTGAAGATGCCTTTTAGCAGATCAAGGAGCTGCTCAAGGTCAATGAAAGAGCAGGACCAAGACGAGTCATAACACACAGACTGAACCAAAAGGCAGGACTCACCACCACCTCAGGGTGACCTGAGGAAGCAAGACCCCAGTCCCCAGCTGCCCCAAACCCACAGCACCCACTCGGCAGCCCCACCAGCTCCTAAGAGGAGGTGCTGCAGCTTTTGGAGACCCAAACCCTTCCTCCTGAGGGACCCTGTGTCACCACCCAGCTTAACAACAAAAACTGGCATCCAGCGGGAGGGAGAAGGGGAGCTGGGAGAAGGTGAGCTCTGAGCAGGGGGTGCTGAGAGCCAGGAAAGAGGTCTTACCTTTTCATCCAGTGCCTTGTGATGCTCAAAGAGTGACTTGAGAGCCTTGAGCACCTCGACCTCACTGGAAACCCCAGATGGTGACTGGGCCTGACGCTTGACCACGGTCATCCTGAGGGACCTCTCGTGCCTCGACACCAGGCACTCCAGGTGCTCCAGCAGGAGCTGCAAGAAGGGAACCGTGAGGCTCTCACCCCCCGGGGGCTGCCCTGTCCCCCCACCCTGGGCCCAGGCAGCAGGGGGTCCGTGCTCACCCGGGTGTTGTTGCGCTCAGCCTTCAGCTCTGAGATCTCCTCCTCCCTCTCCAGCAGCTGCTCCCGGCACGCGCTGAGCTCCCGCGTCAGCGTCGCAAACTCCTGCGGGAACCAGGGCAGGGCTGTGAGCAGGGGCAGGGGGATGGAGATGGAGCCAGCATCTCTGTAGGAGAAAGGGCCCTGGGGGTCCTGGTGGGCAGGAGGACCATGACCAGCAATGTGCCCTGGTGGCCAGGAAGGCCAATGGATCTGGGGTGGGTTAGAAAGGGGGTGGTTGGTAGGTCAAGGGAGGTTCTGCTCCCCCTCTGTTCTGCCTTGGTGAGGCCACATCTGGAATGTTGTGTCCAGTTCTGGGCCCCTCAGTTCCAGAAGGACAGGGAACTGCTGGGAAGAGCCCAGGGCAGAGCCCCAGAGATGCTGGAGGGAGGGGAACATCTCCCTGCTGAGGAAAGGCTGAGGGAGCTGGGGCTGTTGGGCTTGGAGAAGAGGAGACTGAGGGGCCACCTCATCCATGGGCACAAATCTGTTCAGGGCAATGTCAGGAGGACAGAGCCAGGCTTTGTGCAGTGATGTCCAGTGACAGGACAAGGGGCAGTGGGTGCAAACTGGAGCGCCCAGAGAGGCTGTGGAGTCTCCTTCTCTGGAGACATTCCAACCCCCCTGGCCACGTTCCTGTGTGATGTGCTCTGGGTGCCCCTGCTCTGTCAGGGGGGTTGGGCTGGGGGAGCTTTCCAGGTCCCTTCCAACCCCCAAGATTATGTGATTCTGTGTTCACTGCTGGGACCTCCCATTGAACCCAACCAGTGAGAGAAGGGGACACCAAACCAACCACAGAATCATTCTGGTTGGAAAAGACCTTTGAGATCATCAAGTCCCACCACAACCCAACTCTACCAACCATTAACCTAACTTTACCAAGTCCAAGTTAAACCCCGTTCCCAAGCACCACATCCACACGTATCTTAAACACCTCCAGGGCTGGAGACTCAACCCCCTCCCTGGGCAGCCTCTCCCAGTGCTTAATTATTCTTTCAGTGAAGATATTTTTTCTGATGTCCAATCTAAACCTCCTCTGGTGCAACTTGAGGTCATTTCCTCTTGTTCTGTTACTTTTTCCTTAGGAGAAGAGATGGACACCCCTCCTCTCCAACCTCCTCTCAGGCAGTTGCAGAGCCAGCAGGTCTCCCCTCAGCCTCCTGTTCTCCAGGCTGAACAACCCCAGTTCTTTCAGATGCTCCACAAAGGGCTTGTGCTCCAGACCCTTCCCCAGCTTTGTGGTCCTTCTCTGGACCCTCCAGTTCCTCAATGTCCTTCTTATAGTGGGGGGCCCCAAACTGACCACTTTACTCAAGGTGCAGCCTCACCTGGCTTCCCAAAGTGCTTTGGACAAGGGGGAATGCAGCATTCCAATACTTACCCATTTGGTTTGATGTCCAGCTACACACAAAACTGCTCTACAGCTCCAGAGGTGCCTGATGGCATTTAAAGCATCTCAGCCAAGGCCACCAGCACCCTGCCATCCCTACCGGCCCCGTGATGCAACCCAGCAGAGCACCCACCTTGGAACAAGCCTAGAACTCCCCACAGCCCCAAACCAGCCCCTGCAGTGGCCTCAGGACATTGCATCACCCACAATCTCCTTCCAAAGGAAAGAGCAAGATCTGTCCCAGTCCAGCACGTGGAACTTCATGGAGCTTTTCACAGGGCATCCCCCAAGCCTCAAATGCCAGTTGAGGGATCCCAGCAGGACATGTGGCAGGTGCCACCAGCCTTGCTCCTGTCCCAGCAAGGGACAGCCATGCCCAGAGGTCCTTTGGGACAGGGTGGGCTCCTCAGAGCAGCCACACTCCTCCCTGGGTTGGAAGAGAAAGGAAACACTTTGAAGTTCCTAGGAGGTTCATTTTACCTTAGAAAATGAAAACCAAGCACCTGGGCCAGCCCAGTAACACTCTCCCATTGCTTCCAGTTGCTCTTTCAGTCACCAAGTGGTGCCAGGACTAAGTTACATTTTGCAGCTGGGATTTTTGGGAATGAAAAATGCAAATGTGGAAATGCTTCATGAATGTACATGTTTGACAGTGTTGGTGAGAAGAACTTCAAAAGGAAAAGGGTTTCAGAAGAAGCTGAGAAGGATTTGATTGAGCATTAACAAAGCAAATTTTGACTGGGGGCTGAGAGTCATTTTTCAGCATGAAATTCTCTTTCATTTTAATTTTCAACTTACACAAATAAAGGAACTTGAAACTGAAACAAAATGCTGAGGTTTAGGTTGAATCAAATACTCTGCTCAGCTCAACCTGTAACCTCTTGCAACAGCTAATGTCCCTGATGTCCCACCAAATCAAGAGCTTTTCAACCTCTGTTTGTCCCAGCTGGATTTCCCCTCTCCCTTCCCACCTAAAACTAGTGTGGTTTTCAGCCTGGGGTTGATGGGGACAGTGGTGTCACTGGGGATGCTGAGGCCCCACAGTGGGACAGGACCTGGCCATGCTGCAGTGTGGAGGAAGCAAAAGAGCAAGAGCAGTGGCCAAAGTCAGTCAGTGTCCCCATGAACAGCTGCTTTTCTGCCCATCACCACCACTCAGGGCTGCTGCTGCCCCACACCCTCATCCCAGCATCACCCCAGGGCCTGAGTCCCTCTCCTTCCCAGCTCCCCTCCTGCCCCATCGCTGCCTCAGGGGCCCCTCCAGCCCTGGGGTCACCCCTGTCCCCATCGTTTGTCCCTCAAACCAGTCACAGAAGCCCAGACCTTTTCACCAGCCCCTGCCATGCCCAGGCACCATCCCCCCCTTGCTCTGGGACCGTCCCACAGCTGCTCCTGGGCCATCCCAGCCCCCAGAGCACAGCTCACCCCCCCAGCTGCTCCCTAGGAGATCCCTGTGCCAGCCTTTCCCAGAGCTCTGCTCCCCAGCAGGCAGGGGTGAAGACCCAGCCCAGCAGCACATGCCTGTGCCCTGCTGGGTTATACAAGCTCTGAGCACAAGAACTTGAGCAGCAACCAGGGGTTCTTTGGGGCTGGGAACACACTGAGGGCAGGAAGCACAGGCAGAGGTGCAGGGTGAGGTGCCTGTGCAGGGCTGGCTTCTCCAGATGGAGAGAGATGTCTGTGCCTCAGTCCCTGGATGTGCTGGGATGGGCACCAAGGCTCAAGAAGCTGAGGGAAGCATCCTCACAGCTGTGGTGGCCCCAGGAGGATCTTTCAGCAGCCCCAGATGTAACTGCAGGTGACACAAGGGCTGTGGACTCACTCCCAGCACCGGGGCCAGGACCTTGTGGATCCAAAGCCCCGAGAACTGTCAAGGGTGGGAACCCCTTGCTCTGCCCCATGGCTGGCAGGGGAATTAGGGGCTGTGGACCTGGATGTTCTCCATGCTGGGGTGAAGGGGGCTACGTGCAGTGTGTGATGGCCAGGACAAGGCACGGGAGGCAGCAAGGGGAGAGGACAACACTGAGGATGGACCAGTGAGGATGGCACCAGTGCCCACCCTCCTCACCCTGTGCTGCCTGCAGGACCTGCCAGGCTGGCTGAGCTGTAGGGATTGTGCCCACAGGCAGGCTCAGGCATCAGGAAAGGCAGGGGATTAGAGGAGAAAATCCCCTGGAGAGAGGCAGGCAGCCCCAGCCCCGTGCAACCCTCAGCTCAGCAGGTGGGGGCTCCACTCAAAGCCCCCATCCAACCCTGAGCCCTCCCTGACCCTCCACCCCAGTGGGAACAGCTCTGCATCCCAGCCAGGCTGCCAGGCCTGGGGCATCCCAGGGCAAATAACAAGAGACCACAATAACTGTCCTTCCTTGGGGAAAGGCTGCAAAAAGAAGCACTGCCCACCAAAAATAGCAGCAGCCCTGCAGGGAGATGGGATGGCAGCAAAGGGTGAGCTGAGTCCACAGGGCTGGGGGCACTTGCAAGCCTGGCTTTGGTGGCTTGCAAATAAAATTGAAAAAACCCCACAAAACAGGAATAAATGACTCCAGCACCTGCCTGTAGTTACCTCCACCAGTCCCAGCTGTGCCAGGCACCTGCCCTAGCAGTGTCACCCCACTTCTGGACCAGCAGAAGGCACCAGGTGAGGCTGGGGACCACAAGGACAAGCTGCCCCAGCTCCCACGTGCAGTGTCACAGTGTGAAGAGCAGCTTCCACCCCCACCCACGGGTAACCCATTGCCCTGTGTCCCAGCAAAGTGGTGATAAAGAGGATTTGGGTGATTTTCCTCTGCCCTGGCCACAGTCAGGAGTTCCAGGAGATACAGAGGCACCTGCCCCCAGCTCAAATAAGCTCTTCAACTAAGCAGGGACACCTATACATGGATTAGAAAGGGAAGGAGAGGTGCCTGATCTTTAATCAAAGGGTAGATGATGAGATGCAGCCCTGGGAGCCTGGTGGGAAGGCCAGCAGCCCAGGAAGTGCTTCATTTGGATTAAAACCAAACCAGGCTCAGCTCCAAGTCCTGAAGTAAAAGAGAGCAGGGGGGATGGATGTTGTTATTCCCTCAGAGCAGGGAGGGAGACCCACAGCACCACACAAGTTATTGAAACAGGGTTGGGATATTAATCATAGAATCATGGAATGGTTTGGGGTGGAAGGGACCTTAAAGCTCATCTAGATCCACCCCCCTGCATGGGCAGGGACACCTCCCACCAGCCCAGGCTGCTCCAAGCCCCATCCAACCTGCCCTTCAACACCCCCAGGGATGGGGCAGCCACAGCTTCCCTGGGCAACCTGGGCCAGGCTCTCACCACCCTCACACCAAAGAATTCCCTCCTCATCTCCAACCTCAATCTCCTTCTTCCAGTTTTAATCCATTCTCTCTTGTGCTCTCACTACAAGCCCTTGTAAAATGTCTCCCCAGCTTTCTTCTAGTCCAGGGTTTTGGGTCCTTCCCTTTGGCTGCATCAATGGGGAAGAGCACAGGGAGGCCAGAAACTACACAGAGATGCCTGGAAAAGCAAGGAGAGGGTTAGGAAGCTCAGAGGGAGAAAAGGCTCACAGCATGGCAAAGCAGAAGTCCTCAGCCCAGAGCCACCTCCTGCCTTTCCAGCAGCACAGACAAGGATGCAGTGAGATGGCACCAAAGAGAGCAAAATTCTGCCTTCTGTGGCAGGACTGCAGCTGCTGCTCCCAAGCCCCTGAGCTCTGGGAACAAACTCGCTCCAGATGTAGGATTAATGGCATTTTAAAGCCCCTAATTGGAGTGATTGCTCCTGATGGGCTGGGTGTGGGATGGGGGGTGAGGTGGGAATGGGGGTGATGTGAGATGGGTGTGATGTGGGATGGGGGGTGAGGTGGGAAGGTGGGTGAGGTGGGAACTGGGGTGATGTGGGATGGGGGGTGATGTGGGAAGGGGGGTGAGATGGGAAGGGTGCCCACACCAGGAAATCAGAGCTGCTGACTGGACAAGAGGGGGCTGGATCCTGGCTGGCTGTGCTGGGAGCTGGCAGACCCATTGCCTCAGTTACTCTGATGCAAGTCAAGAGAAAGCCTCAAGTCCCAGTTGAAGGGAT